ACACGACCTGATTCATCAGTGCAGGTAAAACCCAGTCACACAAGGAAGAGGAAAGCAGAGAGAGGACAATTTGCTCTCTACACCTCACTGCAAGAGAGTTCAGCTCCTGCATGCATGCACTGATCCCCACTCTGAGGCTGCTCTCTGTCTCCCTGCCCGTCCACAGCCCAGGGGTCGGGCGATGCTGCAGGATCCTGCTTTAGGTTGTATCGTGGACAGTTGGTCATTATCCTCTGATGAACCTAGCGCTGATGCCTTCGCCTTCTGTACCTGTGATCCATTCTCTTCTCCAATAGTGTTAAGCCTGCAGGGTGAAATTTTTGAGAGTGTCTGACTGACTTAAAAATCCATTTTTCAAAATGACTGAAGGCTTCACTCAAAGGGAAATTCCCTGCCATTGCCATGCCAAAGTAATTATAGTCATACCACAAAAATTATCCCGCAATAATTATGCTGGTTTGAGCCTCAGTCTGAACAATATCCTGGGACTTTTTCCCAGGCAGCCAAAATCCTCTGGCTCCAAGCCTCCGGGAGGGAAGGACCTGCTCCCAAAAGCCCACTCCTCCCTCACCCTTGGTGCTTTAGCATGCGATCCGAGATCTCCAGTTCCCCGGTACGATTTTCCACATCGGAGTGTTGTAGCTCGACTCCTGCCCTCCTGCAGCCTCTCCGACTCCTCCCAGGAAGTCCCAGCTGCAGATGAAGCATTTCGGAGATACGGAGAGGTTGGCATGTGTGCTGAGGCAGCCTGGACAGCTGGGCAAGATTTTGCAACCTAAAGCAGCGTGGCCCAGCTTGATGTAAGTTGGTTTTACCCCCCACTGTCCCTTCTGCGAGCTGCCTTGCGCCGACATGTGTGCGCTTGCTGGCTGTTGCCGATGCTTTCGCCCGTGTTCTCGCTGCGGCGTTGCACCCCACAGTGTGATGGGTTCAGGGGGTACCCTTGTCCCCAAAGCCCTTTGGGTGCACCTGCGAGCAGCCAGGCTGGCCAGCACCGCGGAGGGGCTTGGGGAGCAGCAGCAGGGAGGGGACAGCCGGCGCCCGCAGGCTGGAGGGCAGGAGGTGGTGGGTGACCGCTCCCCGTGGTGACCTTTCGGCTGCCACCTCCAAAATCCTCAGCGTGCTCCGAACCTGCACCCAACCCTTTCCCAGGCTTTTTGACTCTCTGGTGGGTGACCCAGCTCCAAAACCTTGCCCGGGGCTGGGGAGGTGAGGCAGAGCTCTCTGCCGTAGCTTCGGTCGGCTGCTCGCTCTGGGAGCAGCACCCTGACCCCGGTGCTGCCTCCAGCTCCTCACAGGAGCCTTGTGCACAGCTCTTACACCAGCTCCATAGTTTTCTGCAATCTGTTGAAGCCCTTTTTACTGCCACACTGTTCATTTTGTCACCCGCAGGGTTAGTCCACTCACTCCAGTACTCATTTGCTTTGCATCCCAAAGCGGCGTCCCCCCACATCTCAGTGTCCATCCCCGACATGCAGCCATCCCACGCGCAGGGACAAGGTGTGTAATTTGCAGTCCCGAGCAATATTATGCCGTGGCTTCCCATTTTTCCATAAATTGTGCTGTTTTTTCCCACCTGGACAAAGACATGTAAAACCCCACTGGTCTCAGCTGGCAGCTGCTTTGCGCTTGCTTTAGAAATAACACAAAATGCGAGCTGCAGGGACTCGCATGCTGCATGTAAGGCTGGAAAGTGCACCTAGCAGTACTGGGAACTTACCTGTGGGCTGGCCAGCTTCAAAACCGTTTGAATTTATTTTTTTGCCAGCTGGGTAAATTAATCCATGGCTGGTCAAAGTAAAGGTGCGCGCATCCTCCAGACTCACTCACTTTGTCAAGTACCTAACAAAATATTGATTTATATTAACTTAAATACTGCATGTTTCGGCAATGCTGTAGAATAGTTGGGGGCACCTGAGGTGAAAGAAGAGGCTGCATCAGGCACAGAAATTAATTTGTTTGGGGCCTTGAAGGAAAGATAAACACAAATATCGCATTGGAGATGGAAGCTGACATCTTGTTAATCAGAATAAAACTTGTGCCTAAGCAGCCTGGAGTTGCAGCAGCTGAGAGGCCAGACATTCTCAAAAATAGCAACACTCTGTTCCTTTTTTTTTTTTTTTTGGTAGCCTTAAGAACGTGAAGGAAGGCAGAGTGGGTTGTGTGGAGTAGGTTTGCCCACATACAACCCTAATGCCCCTTGTTTCACTTACCAGCCCCAAGGGTCAGGGTGTCTGAGCAGCCCTGCCAAGGCACAGCCTCATCAGTGAGGAAGGTGGAGGTGCTGCATGGGAGGAAGGGCAGAGGCTAGAGACACCTGGGATCAGTGAAACTGGATGGGAAGCTGATGCTGAACACTGAATTCCCAGAGGATCCCCCCTCACTGGTGTCCATACCACTCCCCCCAGCGCAGAGGAAACTGGGGGGAGCCCAGAACTGGGGAGACAGGAGGCAGAAGCCATGGCTGCCCTTCTCATCCTGACTTTGTGTGTGTCATGGGCACAAGGTACAGGCCCAGCACTGTTAGACGTTGCAGCAACAACACACAGAGCGGCTTGTTCCCCCTTTTCCTTTCTGTGGCAGAATAACCACAGCTTTGGGTCTGGACCTATGCTGTATCTCCAGGCACATGGAGTGTTTGCTTTACCCCTGCAGCCGTGGAGCGCTTATCTCACCCCTCTGCTTTGTGTCCGGGGGAAATGCAGGTCCGTGCCTGCAGGAGTGAGACAGCAGGCTCCGTGGCATGCTCAGGAGAGTGGGACCGTCTCTGCGTCACTTCTTGCTGGAGATGAAGAGCAGCGCTGGATATAGCTCGTACTCCAAGGTATTGAATGCCCAGCGTGACTGTTTCTGGCTGGCAGCCTGGCCCCTGCCCCAGGCTGCAGCAGAGGGGGGAGCTCAGTGCCCAGGGGCTAGCCTTGGCAGCAGTGGCAGGTAGGGCACGTCAGGCAAAGCCACACTGCTGCAATCTCCTCTGTACCCTCTTATTGCTAGGTAGTCTGTTTAAAGGGAGCATCTCATAAGCAAGAGAATATCCTTCATATAGAAGAAAGCTCATTGTTTGTGGGGTTGCCTCATCTGATGGTCTCTTCTGCTAGAGCCTCTTGGGTTGCAAAGTACTTGGGAAATATCAGCACCCCTCTTGGAGATTCAAACACGCAGAGCAAGTAATCATGTGCAGCAGGGAGTCAGTGGTGGAAGGTTGTGGCTGGGGAGCCTTCTCCATTTGCACTCAACTCTCCTGCCTGGCTGCCAGGCAAATTGCAACTGGAGAAACACATTGTTCAGTTTGGGGAGCAGAACAGGCTGAAACAGCCTGTGTTTCTCCCCAGCCTGATGGGCAGCTGCCCATGGCAGCATGATGCAGGCTGGGGATGGGATGGGGAGGACGTCAAAAGAAGAAATTTGTCATTTCCTTTCCTGAAAGGGCTGGAGCAAACAGGGCCTTTCCTCAGCACTGGGAGTTTCTGGGCTTAAAGCACCTTCTTCCCACTGACCCCCATCACACTTACCAATGCTGTTAAATTCTCTGAACCGTGGCCAGCAGCAGCCCCACCGCAAGCTAACAGCACTGGAGCTGTTAATGTTTCACCTGCGGCTATCTTTTACTTCCCAAACCATGAATGCTTCTACTCCGACCAAAATCAGCTCAGGCGCCAGGTCTTGCTGACTGTAATACCCCTGAGATTATGCAGAAGGAGCAAGGCGAGGGGCTGGGGGAGAGGAGCGGGGCTCCCCCAGACCCAGGGAGGCAGTGACTTCTGCTCGCCCTTGGCTGCCTGCCCTGCACCCCGGGGGAGCGCAGAGTCCACCCGGTGCCCTCTGAAACACCGGAATCCTCATGAAGATATTTACAGAGATACCTAGTGAGGGCTGAAGCTGGATAAAAATCCAAAGACCTCAACACAAAATATCGTAGGGGCACTTTTCAGATTCTGGTGCGGCCCTCTGGGAACGGCAGAGGTGAGCAGGTAAGTGGGGAGTTACCGCTGCAGCCGAGCCCGAGGAGGGAGGCTGACCTGGCATCCCCCCATCCCGGCATGGCAGAGCACAGACCCTGTCCCCTCACATCCCAGCTCTGCATCTCTTATCTCAGCCGCTTTCACATGCACCCCTCATCCCTGTTCAACTGTATTTTATTTGCTCTGGTGATGATCATTTTCTTGGCTGGTTGCTTCAGCGATGCCCCCTCACATCCCCACACTAGCTTTTCTTGGTGCATTGAGCATCGTTTGTCTCTGGTTTCCAGGCCCTTCGCTGTCTGGTTGCTTTTTCCCTGCACTGTTGATTTACTATATTCTGCCTCTGCGGCTTTTCATCATCCTCGTGATAAATTCCCCATCGAGCACGTCTGACTTTCTTCTACTGTGCTTATCCAATTGGAAGGAGGATTTTGCTCTCAGTGTTTCCTACTGTCCTTCTTCCCACTCCCCCCCCCAGCCATGATGCATGTGGAAATCAAATACCAGTCAGGGAAACGGTACCTTGGTGTCTCCGTACATCAGACTGACCTGCGTGCTGTGCTCCCCTCTTGCCTGTACCCAGTTGCTGCCTGGTTTTGCCATGAACTTTAGGTGCAAAAATCAGCATATTGTTCAGGATCTAGAGCAACTCCCTTCACCAAGCGCTCCAGCAGGACAAAGGAGTAAATACTTCTGCTACTCTGTAGAGCAGTGTGGAATAAAAAAGTTTGTTCTTCTAGGAAAAAGGGATACTTTATAGCCTGTGAACAAGGAGGCCCTGCTGATGGAGGACAAGAGAGGTGATGGAAGGCAAAAGCCTGAGGTCTGGGGCTTGGCCTGGCTGTTAGAGCCTGGCTGAGCTCATTTGACCTTATGATTTATTCCAACTGAAAATGAGGTTTAAGGCATTGCCAGCTCCCCAGTGAGTGTACACACTCTTCTTTTGTTCATCTGTTTTCTCAGTTCTTGTTGAAACTTGTAAATGAAACACCCTCCTCTGCCAGCTCTCCTCTGTTTGATCTTTCATAAAAAGTGTGTGAAGCTTCTTCCAGAAGCCACTGCAATGGTGATACTGCTCTAAGGTTGGTCAGCAGCAACCCGTGAAGCCATACGAAAGGGCACACCTTCTATTGGGAAAAACATACCTGGGAAGGCCATGTCCCCTTCATGCGTGACCCCATTGCCGTTAGTAAAAGCTCCAAACTCACTTTCTTTCTCTCTCTTTGCAGGCAAAAATGTCAAGGCCAGTGCAAGCTCGGAGGCTGGAGGGAATAGATAAGAATATCTGGTGAGTTAGGAGAAGATCTGATTTACGCTGGTGGTAGATGTGGGTTTCGGGAGCCTAACACCAGACAGAAACCATTGCAGCCACACAGCACAGAGCAGCAGACTCTCTCGGCTGCTTTGCATTTGTTCAAGAAGTGCATCAGGGCAAGTTTGTCCCGGGAGACTTCACCGTGGCTCAGTTCTGTACCTGCTGCTCATACTCTGTGCCGTATCAGGTGTCCCACACCACCCTGCAGAAAGGCAGGCGGGACCACCTGGTAGTGCATTGCACTCCATCCCACCCATCCGCCTGAACGATCCCAGCAGCACCCAAATCTGAACCAAGCGGTTGCAGCGCACTGGCTGCAGCCCAGCTTCTCTTCCCAGCCCACCCTTCGGCACTGCAAGCAGAGAGGCAGATGAAGGGATGCTGCAAATGCCGTTCCCAGCCTGCCAGGCACAGTGTGGCATCGGGAAAGCTGCATGCTTGAAGAAGGGCTTTAGATGGGCTTTCCCCAAAGCCCTGCTGTGCCTGGTTTCAAGCTACAAACTGCCAATGAGCTGACTCTCGTTTGAGAGAAGCGCTGAGTTCAGCCTGCCTTTCCCTCTGCAGAGGCCTTCACGGTGTCAGGATGCTAAATTTTGCAGAACTGATAGGAGCTTGAAAAGCCCCGAGTCCTCTCCCGCTCAGTCTGGTCTGGTCAGCAGCGACGCGCAGCTTCAGCTGCGACTGCCCACCCAGACAGCACAATGGCCGTTTCCTTAAAGAACACATTCAAACCATTCCCAGTGCAATTGTGCTTCATCCTTGTTTTGATTGAAATGAGTGTGAACTCACCTGTGCTTGGTCCTGTCCACCTGTGAGCAGCAGAATGGCTCTGCAGGAGGGACACCAGTGTTGCTCACTTCCAAAGGGATGCTGGCAAGCAAAGCCGGTGCCAGCGCGCTGCCTGGACCCTCTGTAAATGCTCATCTTTCTCTCCCTTTCTTCTCTCCAGGGTGGAGTTTGTAAAACTGGCTGCCACCTACTCCACAGTGAACCTGGGCCAGGGCTTCCCTGACTTCCCCCCACCGGACTTTCTGAAGGAGGCGTTCATGAGAGCCCTCAGCGGGGAGAACCACATGCTGCACCAGTACACCCGTGCCTTCGTGCGTGGACAGAGTCCCCTCCTCGGCAATACCCTCCTTGTTACCCGTTAGCCTTGGCTGCTTCAGGGCTCACCAGGCAGCAATAAACAGGGGAAATCATGTGAGGCAAAACACACATCCAGTCTCAGCCCGGGCCCCTGCGCCCAGGGCCGTAACACCCTGCTTTACCAGGGCGTTTGAAGCAGCTGGGCTGGAAGATGCCTCGCATGCTCAGTCATAGGGCACCTGGATGCCCAGGCCCCTTTCCAAGGGCTCATCCATGTTTTAGGAGGCTTCTGCAACCCAATTCCCACTCCTCCTCTCACCCCACAGGGACACCTGCCTTTGGTGAAGATCCTAGCCCAGTTTCTTGGGAAGCTGCTTGGACGAGATGTGGATCCTATGACCAATGTGATGGTGACTGTGGGGGCATACCAGGCTCTTTTCTGCTGCTTCCAGGCTTTCGTTGATGAAGGTGATGAGGTGAGTCAAGATCTGGGCTTGTTGCACAGGCAGCCTTCGTGCAGCGGAGCCTTTCTTGTCTGTGGGTCTGCCAGGAGCAGGTTTTCATAGTCCTTTTGCAAAGCAGAAAAGGTTTTATCCCCATTCTCCAGTATTTGAGCTTCCAAAGGAAAAATTTCTCTGCTGCAGGGCACTGTCTCCTTTCTACAGGAGGCAAAAATAACCCTTTTGCCCTGATTGATGTTGTTCTTCCCTGTCAGTGCCCAATGGCAATCTAGATTCTCCATTACAGTACATCAGGGATTAAAATTTCCTGTTCTTCCCATTGCTCCCTGCACCCATCAAGGAGGGTCTGAGCTGGGTCAGGAGGGCACTGACATGTCCCTTTCTTCCAGGTGATAATCATTGAGCCCTTCTTCGACTGCTATGAGGTGATGGTGAAAATGGCTGGTGGGCTGCCCGTGTTTGTCCCTCTGAGACCGGTGAGTGGGTCGGAGCAAAGCTGTCGAGGAGGGATGAGTCGTAGCAAAGTGAGCAAAGAGGTGAGTGGTAAGCAAAGTGCAGAGGTAGCAAAGCAAGCCAAAATTCCCCTCTGTTCTCTCTAGAAATTTCCAAAAGATGGAAAATTGATGTCTAGTGCAGACTGGCAGCTGGACCCAGATGAACTGGCTTCTAAATTCAGTGAACGGACAAAAGCCATCATCCTGAACTCACCCAACAACCCTCTGGGCAAGGTAACGCCTCTGGCCTGGCTGTGGCTCCCTCTGAAAGCAGCTGGGGTGCTGCAGCTCACCTGGCCACATTCGCAGTGTAGCAGTGACTCGACCTTCCTTGCACACAAGGGAAATGGGTGTTGGGGCAGCACTGCACGCTGAGCTCACTCTTCTGGTGCTTTTGAGCCTGGTCTTTTATGCCAGCAGTGGATTTTCCCAGTTAGACCATTGCAGCCAGCTGCTGCCCACCCTGGCTTGGGAGACAGCACAAGCAGGGCGTGCAGCCTTTGCAGAGAGTCAGGGACAGGCAGGGGCTCAGAAACGCTCCTGCTGCAGCTCTGCTCCCCTCCCTGCCTGCTGCAGGTATTCAGCCAAGGGGAGCTGGAGCTTATTGCAGATCTGTGTGTGAAGCACGACGTCCTGTGCATCAGCGATGAAGTGTACGAGTGGCTGGTCTACGATGGGAAGGAGCACATCCGCATCGGTACGGAGAATGGCTTGGCTGAGCTTGGGCGTCTTGTCTGGGTACAGCATATCCAGGGCAGGAACTGGTGATTGACTGGGGTCCCCTGGAAATTACATGGGCTGCCTGCACACAGAGCTCTACAAGACATGTATCCCCATTAGACGTATTTCGCTGCACTTCAGTCGCAGCCTCCAAACCAGGTCTTAAACTGGAGCCCTGACTTCCAGAGCCAGTCAGAGGAAACAGAGAGTTGGCTTCAGAGTGTGAGATGCAGAGCAAAGGGCCCTTTGGCTCCAGAGAAACTGCATTTTTTTCTCCATGCTTTGTAAAACCACAGTTCTCTGGTGTCTCTAGTTTTGGGACATCCATTTCAACACCATTTCAGAGGCCTGTTCTCCCTGTTGCTGTAACATGCAACCACCTTGTTGCAGGGTGATGGTGCTTGGCACCTCCGAGAACCCTTGGGGCTGGGTGCATGCGTAGGAAAATACTTAATTACAAAGAGATGCTCTTGAGAAACCTGGCTGCCTGCTTGGGATGTGCTTCGAGGCTCATCCAGGTGAAAGATGTGCTGTGCACACAAAAGGCCACCTTGGGTTACAGTGGGCAAAGAGCTCCCACCGTGTCATTAATGCAGCGCAGAAGCGAGCACACTGAGCTCTGCCATCGGTATTTCTCTCTTGTTTCATTGCCAGCCAGCTTGCGAGGGATGTGGGACCGCACGGTGACCATCGGGAGTGCTGGGAAGACCTTCAGTGCCACTGGATGGAAGGTGAATTCCCCTGTGTGGCATCTGGTGTTCTCCCCGTCTCCTTGCTCCAGGACATGGGTCCCATTGCCATAGTGTGGCACTGGGGACACTGCTGCTGCACACTCGGCTTTGAACCTCAGGATCTGAAAGGACCAAAGCTGCTTTATGAGAGCTCTGTCTGGAAAATACGACAGAGCCAGCACAGGCAAATAAAGGGGAGCCCAAAAAGGTACCCAGAAACTTACCACCTTCCTCTTCCTCTCCTGACCACAGGTGGGCTGGACCGTGGGACCCAACCGGCTACTGCAGCACCTCCGTACCGTGCACCAAAACTCCGTGTACCACTGTGCCACAGTTGCCCAGGTAAGGAGGATCTCTGCAACCGGCCCTGCAATTCCCAAACCCCTGAAGCCAGGGTGGGAGAGGGTCCTTTGCCCGTGGCTGACCTGACAGGCACAGGCAGGGTGATGCGTGGTGCCCTGGAGAGGCTCCTTCCCCTCTCCCTGCAGTCGCCCCGTGCCCAGGAGGATGGGGAGAGTTCAGCTTGCCTGGGGTGTATTCCTTATTTTGCATTGACAAAGCCCAGGGGCCATCTGGGAGGGGCTGGAGGCAGAGAGCTTGGCTTGGTGCAATAAGAAATCACCCCCTGCTCCCTAATCACCTGTGAATTGCATCGGAGCAGACTCTGGTTCTCAGGCAAGCCTGGACCCTCTTCCCACTGGGTTCCTCTCTCCTCGCAGGAGGCTGTGGCTCAGAGTTTCCAGAGGGAGCTTGAGCTCTTCGGGAAACCAGAAAGCTACTTTGTCCAGCTGCCTAAGGAGCTGCAGCAGAAGAGAGACTGGCTGGTCCAGAGGATGGATGCTGTGGGGATGAAACCCATCGTCCCTGAGGGCACCTACTTCTTGGTGGCAGACATCTCTGAGTTCAGTGAGTTTCACAGCTGTGTCACCCTGAGTGGTACCACCTGCAAGGTCAGGCACCTGCGTAAACCACCGCCACAGCAGGGATGGACAGTAGCGCGTTCCCCATCCAAGCTCCCCAAGGCTGTGGGTTTGGGACTTGGCTGAGGCACGTGGCAGCAGCCCCCACCTCCGCGCTGCTGTCCTTCTCCTGCAGAATCCGATGTCACTGATGTCCCCGACTCTGACGAGCCCTATGACTCCAGGTTTGCAAAATGGATGGTCAAGAACAAGGTAAACACGCCTGTCCCTTTGCGCTGCGTTTGCCCCGGGTGGGTTTGTGCCCTCCCTGCTGGCTGCGCTCACGGGAGCCGGCACAACACCACTGCCAGGTCCGGCAGCTTGTGGCAGGGGGGGGCTTCGGGGGGGTGGGTTTCCCCGCGCCAGG